AGTCCAGCCAAAACCAGCTATATCCAGCTTAAACCAGGCTGGTCAAGCTGGTTTTAGCTGGATTTGGCTGGTCATTTTCCAGCCTGACCAGCTAAGACCAGGCTGGAAATGGCTGGAAACCAGCCTGGAAATGGCCAAAACCCCTCTAAAACCAGCCTGGTCAACCAGCTAAAACCAGCCAACCAGCCTAGGCTGGTTTAAGCTGCATTTTTCAGCTGGGAGGGCAAAATCCATTGGTCTCCACATGGGCTGACCCATATTGTTTTGACCCATGTGGGCCCCAAAGGGGAAAATACTTTTGGGGCCTGCATGGGCTACCCCACATGTGTTTTTCCTGTGGGACTGTCCTGCCCACATTGTCCCACAGTAAACCCACACTTACCCACAGCGGGCCCACACTGGCATGTTTGCTGGGTAATGACATCTGATTACTGTAACAGTAATAACACGACTGATAAGGAAACCAGCACGAATGAGCACTTTCAGACAAAGCCAACACAATCTCACGCCAATTCGTAACTTTTTGATTTAGTGGCTAATTCGTATAAATCCGTGCGATCTAATTCGTACAATTTAGTACGATTTGCTCATCCCCCAATGACGGCTGGCTTTAGGGGTGGGGTTTGGTGCCACGCCTCCTTTTTAAAATCGTACAATTTATCGTACGAATTAGCCACTAAACTGGCAAAACGTAGAATACGTTTTCTCGTGAGATCAGGCTGGACAAAACAGGAGACAATGTTTAAATCAATTTTCTCAAACAGAGCTCTGCACTGTTTATAGCCTATATTTTTTTATAATTATTGAATTTTCACAATAATAAAGACAGCAATCTTCAAAAGACAGAGAAAAAGTATAAATAAGGGGAGAAAAACAGGGGGAATTATTTTTACAAATTCTTAATACAACAGGACTACCCCAAATAAAACTGTAAGGAAACATTGGTAAAAACATTGCTTATTTTGCAGATAATATTACTTTTAAAGTTATAGGGCAGAGCTCCAAATAATCCAAATATAGAGTACAATCTTTAAAAAAAAAATGTTGTTTTTTGTGTAATAAAAAAGTGAGGTAAGAATTACCTCATAAAAGATAAAAACATGTTTCAGTAGTGAACTAGTTTGAAATAGCGTAAATGCAAAGTGAAGGCTTGTGAATGGAACATACCTTCGTTAATAAGCAGTTTACACTCTTTCAGTGATTACTGTTTTGTAATAACATCTGATTACTGTAACGTTACAGTAATAACACGACAGATACTGAGGACACCACCACAGATGAGCACTTTCAGGCAAAACAGGGGACAATAATGTTTAAATCAGTTGTCTCAAACTCAATTCCTGGAGGGCCACAGCTATCGTTTATAAAAATGCTTTTGCTTTAAAGACTTTTAATGTATACGTGTGTGTGTGTGTGTGTGTGTGTGTGTGTGTGTGTAAAGTGTGTTTGTAAACTGCAAAACATTTACACATTCATAATGATACCAAAGAGTTTTTATTTAGTGCAGAATTATCTGAAAAATATAGATCTTTTAATAATCATTTTCACACATTACAAACATTTAATATCTTTTAACCTCATGGAATTAACATGCTGAAATAAAACCTGGACCAATGAAACAATTACAGACTCAAATGTGTGCTTGTATATTAATACTGGCATAGACGATTCCCTCTGATGGACCTTGAATATGCATATGCAACTAATAGTAAGACACAGACAGTGATCACTGACAACTTACTGCTGCCTCTGAGGTCAGTTTATACAACTTCAAATCTAGAAGTCATAATAAGAGTCTTCTGTTGGGCTTAATATTTTCTTGAAATCTAATCAAAGGATATCCACTTATAAAACCCACATGTCTAAAAACAAAAATAAGTGCTCATCGCCATCCTTTAAAAAATAGAGATACAATTAAAAACATCTCTGTAGTGTAAAGATTAAAAAGAAAATAAGGTGTCTTTGAACACTTTTAAGATAAAAATACTAAATATGAGCCAAAAGCATCAACATGAGATGACTGAAGCTCCATCATAGCTGGTGATCCAGTGTTATCAAGACTGATGACAGGTTTTCCCTGCGGTGTCATGTGGATCTGAGTGGTCAGCATCAGTCAGTGTCATAACCCAAAATCGGACCCAACCACCGCTCGACCTCGCACACCTCCATCTGCTTCCTCAGAGCGTAATCCTCCACCTGAAGCACACAGAAATAGAGGACGATCCCAAAATGAATGTAAATTTAAATAACATCCACATCTTTTAAAGGGTCACGAAACACCAGAGCACATGTGTTGAGCTGTTGACAGTGGTATATGTGTCCCACACTGCTATAAACACTATTAGGACACCTATATTTCACTAAAAAGTGTAAATTGGTTGTTTTTGAGTTATTTCAAGCAAATTGGTACTTCCGGTTTGAAACGAATTTTTGAATCTGCGTCACGGCCATGACATAATAGCGTGTATTCCAGCGTGCAGACTGGACGTCTGTGCCAGAGTGTGTCTTATTACGTCTTACAGTGTGCTGCATTAATGCATGAGTAAAGCTTGGTGCAAACCAATCAGCGCGCTCTATTGTGCAACTTCATTAATATTCATTACTGTCTCAGTGTTTAGACGACAGAGACGCCACGTTGTGTTGGCAAAACAAGCGTGAAGTGTTGCTTTTATAGTTTGCTGCAGTGAAGTTTTGTTTTCATTTTCTCTCTGTGAGAGCTCAGCTGGAGTCACGTGTGGATTAACAGTGTACGCGACGCTCGACAACAACAACTTACGTGTCTAAGGAGGATTATTGTTTACCTGAGAGCTGTTCTCATCTGCAAACGCTGAGATCCGGATTCGCTTGTAGTCTCCTCTTGATAAAGACGCGGCTCTAGTTGCTGGTGATTGTCCTGTCTCTACAGATTTGGTCAGTGAGCGACCAGTGCTCTTTGTTTATTCAGTTTGTTTGTATCGAATTAAGTTAACTATTGCAAATAATTAAAGCACTGCATTTTGTGACCGGAATAACACACGTGGCTTTCTGACGCTACCTGCCGTGTGCATCTAAGTTTCCGGGAAATGCTGAGTTTTTTTTTCTCTCATTCGCCGTGCGGTATCAAACATTGCATGAAAAATACACGCTTAGAGCAGATCCTCGAATCAAATATCTCGTTTGTCGCGAGGGGCATGAATGAATTCCCTGAATGAAAGAGCCAAACTGCAGTTAAAGTCCACCATTTAATAATTTGGCAAATAATTTGACTACAGATGTCCATGTAGGTTAAACACCATCGCTTTCTACTGTGTGTGTGTGTATTTTGACTGAAACTCGCGCGTGCCCAAATAGACACTCCCACACCCTCCCACTTTAGTTCCTCCGACACTCCCCCCAAAACAGAGCTGGACACGCCCACTTTTCTGACTTTTTCCAAAAGTAGAGGTGTGAAAAGACCCTGCTGAAACGAGGGGGTTTCATGGCCCTTTAAGGGCTAAATGCACGTCGTATGCAATACAGGAGATTTACTGTTCGTTTTTTATCTGTTAAACAGCGGGTTAGTGGATCTGAAGGGTCATACCTGTTCCTTAGTGATTTTACCCACAGCAAAATAAGCAGACTTGGGGTTGGAGAAATACAGGCCAGACACTGACGCAGCAGGAGACATGGCCAGAGACTCGGTCAGAGAGATGCCTGTAGAAGAAGAAGGTGGAAGAAGAGAAAGAAAAAGAGGAATGGGAAGGAATGAATGAGGAGGAAGACAGTGCTCGCTTTCTTTAGTCTCAGAACACATTAAAAAGCAGGATACTATTTTTTTTTTAATTTTCCAGTCTTTTTAATTCAAAGAATTAATGATTTATGAAAAATTATAATGATTAATCGCTTCCAAAATCAAAAGTTTGTTTTGACATAATATATTTGTCTTTATACAATGGTTCTGTCTGGTTCTCGAATCTGATTGGCTGATAGCTTGTAAAGCCTCTTCACCCTTCTGTATTACTCCGCCCACATAGAAACAGTTTGACAAATATTGCTGCTGTTGGACAACATAATGTACTTTTGAGGCTTTTTTAGTCGAGATTGCAACTATGCAGTTTATTTATAAGTGCAGTGCCTATTTTAAATATTTATCATTTCTGATATCCACCACATTCGCGGCCATCAGCCTGTCATACTGAGCTGAGCAAAGAGTTGATGCTCCGCCACAGAATGGAGACAAAGACCGTATAACACATCCTTACAGGAGAAAAACTCTGTACATTTTTAAACCACAGTTGAACAAAACATTATAAAACAGGTAAATGACTTTTTCTTAGTAAATCTCTCTCTTTTGTATGTTGTAGTGCTGTATTTATACCATAGTAATCTGCTAGTGTTTGCTTTGGCTTTTTCGAGATTAATTAATGTGATCTCCTGATTGCAACAGAGAAATACTGGGATATCTCTGTAGACTGATGGCATTTCATGCCGTTCAGCATTGAAATCTTAAAATGTGAGCAAAATCAGCTGTTTTGTTATTGCTTTAGACATTACGCTAGAGAGTCATTCATGTAGTAGCTCTAAAGTGACATTGGTGAATGAGCAGCGGTTTCTGTTGTTCTGACATCAGCTGCAGATGTGAATGAATGGAGGAAGAAAGTAGTTCCTAATATAATGGATTTTGAGACTCTGAGTTTGATTAGCTTTTTTATATTCATGATTATGCCGCTGAACTGTTGTATAAACGCAGTATCACACAAGTAGCAG